CAAACAACGCCACTGCAACCGCCAACAAGAAAAAAATTACTTTTAACATCGTGGTAACAATGTATATAATACTCGTTATTATTATTGTAAAAATCTGTATATTATTGGAAGACTTGAAAATGGTCCCATTACCATAATACAGTACTAGCAGTAAATTAATTTCACTACTTATTATGTTTCAAATTCAAATCTTGCGGACAACCAGCCAAGTGTCGAAATACATACCTGCTTCTGAGCCACATCAAACATGTCGACTGTGGGATTGTCCAGAAACGTCCGCGTGTGAGAGCGGGCTACATCATCCACATTCACGGGATCATCTGCCGTGGGGGACAAAAAGCGGCCATAGATGACTCTGGCCTGAACGTTGCGCTATAATGAGAAACAAAAATACTCATAAATATAAGACAACAATATGAGGCTCATTGTGATATCATTACCATAATATGGTGCAATACGTTACAACTTTGATAGCGATGTCTGTGGAGCAACGGTTAAAGCCAGCTTCTTAAGTGACTTTAAATGTGTCGATTTGGGGGTAAAATAACGCATCCAATTTTTAAAAAATTGGTCTGCCTCATGGACCTTCAAAATTAGGATCCAAAGAGAGAATGGCGTATTTGTTTAATCTTATTGTATCATTTCCTCTGATAATTATTTCTTGAGGAGCTCCTAAAGTTCCACTTTGGAAGTGACTCGTATTTTGTCTCAAGAGAGAAGCTTCAAACGCAACTATTACCTTTTAAAGTACTGTTACTAAGTACAGTTGTTGGGTTTTTTTTTAATTTCCATTTCATTCGCCTCTTTGATTAAAAACAGACCCCCCTTTCCACTTCCAAAACAAACAAAAAACAAAGCTATACTTATATTTTTTTAGCCTAGGTCTTAGTAACAATACGGTACATCTTAAAAACCTTCAGTTAAAGAACACAATTCTTCTATCAAAATCTTTCAAACTTACCTCAGAGTCACCTGTCAGTTGACGATACTGCTCACACGCCTTCCAAAACAAGATGTTCTCTTCGCTGAACTCTTTCCTCAAGAATTCCTTAATAGAAAAATGACACGGAGGATGATGTTAGTAATACGAGTCGAGGGAAAACTCTATACAACTTAACTTGTAAATTCAGGAGCAAAATATGGAGAGATCACGTTTCTACAAAAGTGCACAAAAGAGTATTTAAGTAAAAACAACCCCACCCCCTCCCCCAACTGTGTAAGATATCAACCTAGTAGTTTCTTCACTGGCTGGTTTATTTGCTTGCATATTTGTTTGTTTGTTTGTTTTGTCAATATGATATGACATTTATCTATGTATAGATCTAATTCTATTTGCATGATTTTTAAATACTTTTTAGGGGGCGTGGGTGGATGTCTCCAACTCTTGATTTAAAAAAAAAATATAAACTATAAGTAAACATCGTGTAGTCAAATGATGAACCTACCGAAAAGACTTCAACGCCGACTGGGTCCTGAAGTAGTTTGTCCACGTGTACGGCCCAGCTGGCCACCCGACCTACTTGCTCCTTCAGACCGTCACCCTGATCGCCAGTCTGTCCAACGATGTTGTCCACACTTTTATTGAGCAGCTTGGACTGGGTGTTCAGACAGGGATCCTCTTCAATTGCTGAGGACTTAAGTTTGGTTTTTTTAAAATATTTTTTTTCGTTTGTTTGTTTGTTTTGGTTTGTTGTTTTCTTCTAAGTAATTTACCAAATTTGTCCTACGTGTTTATGGGAATATTCTTTGTTGTCATGATCGTAGGGATAGGGTGAGTGGTTGGAAGCTTTGTTTTGTTTAAATTTTTTGTGGTGGGTGTTTTACGGCGCTCGCAACTGCAGAAGGTCATGTTATGTGCGAGATATATTAAACACAGTTCGTAGGAAATTTTGCCTTTTGCACGGGTGCAGGCCACAGCCTACTTTTATCGATCTTTGACTACCAAGGGATTTTTATCGTGTGCAACATGCACATAGGACCTCCAAAATTCTTTGTCCTTATCCGAGAAAGATAGATGTTAGATCTTACGTTCCATAATATCAGAAGTGTGGCTGAAAGACAGCAAAAAGAAGAAGCCAAGAAGTAGAAGTAGAAAGGCTGCAGAAAGAGTCAGGGGCGCACAGGAGGGGGCAAAAAGTGGAGACGAAATCAAACGGGGGAACGTTGTTAGAGAGCAGGAATGAAGGTGAATGGAGAAAAATCTAGAGGGGAAAATGTTCCAACTCTGTCTGGATTCAAACCCGGGACCTATTTAATGAGTGGTGAACAACGTAACCTCTCGATTCTATGATGAACCTACCGAAAACACTTCTACGCCCACTGGGTCCTGCAGTAGTTTGTCCACGTGTACGGCCCAGCTGGCCACCCGACCTACTTGCTCCTTCGGGGGGGGGTTCTTTAGTTTGAAGGTACTCGACAACTCAACCCTGCTTTCTAGGCGTTCAACATGAGCTTGCACCTCTTCCGATTGGCTGATACTTGCTGTCTTGTGTCAGTTTGGTTGGTCAATGTGTATAACGATAATGATTGCTTGGACCTGACTTTACATCAACTTTGATTCATTGTTTTAGTAAGAGTTTTACGGCACTTGCAACACAAGTAGGTCATATAAGTGTCGAAGATAACAGATATTACATGTACTAGGGAGTTTAATAAACCAAGAAAGGGAGAAGAGATAAGGACGATAGATGTTAGATAGGAAATAAAGAGCAGCTGCATCAACTCGCACAAAGTCTCGGAAAACCGAGGAGATAAGAGACGACATAATATATTTTTAAAAAACAGTCCACGCCTGTTTTCATCTACTGCACTGAGACCATCGGGTAAACATAAAAACGTGACTTGCTTTAGTATTGGAAATACGACAGAATCCGCTGTTTTCGAGAGATTTGTGGTTGAGAAACCATCTACAACCAACTTACGACCGTCTGTCACGGGCGAAAAGAGTCCATATATTAATGTACCGTATTCTGAGTACAAAACAAAAATATTGATCATCCAGTCAAAACTGTAACTCGTCTCATAAAAGCGAGGACCAACCAATGGAACGAGAGAGACTCAAGCTCTTAGTCGAACTCCCAGAGGGCAGCATTGATGTTATTCAATTCCGAACCGAAACATTGGGGAACAAAATGTAAAATTTTAAGGCCCCTTTCACAACTGTAAGGTTATTTAAAAGGCATGGCCTCTGATTTCAACGTCCATCTCCAATAAGACTGAGCCAAATGGTTGGAGAGTATTAAAACTTCCCGAAAACAACAAACGTTCAGAACGCCCTGTTGGGAATTCGAACCAGTGTCAATTTATGCATTATGCATTAAATTACTGAGCTAATAGAGTGCTTCAATACATTGATTTCAAAATCTCTAAAACTTAATGTTCATATTATTTATTA